TATATATATATATTATATAGTAGTATAGTTATAGTATATTATATATATATATATATATATATATATATATATATATATATATATATATGTGTGTGTGTGTGTGTGTGTGTGTGTGTGTGTGTGTGTGTGTGTGAGTGTGTATATATATATATATATCTATATATATATAGTCAATGTAATATGCATGTACACATACAGTGCCAATGTAATATGCATGTACACATACAGTGCCAATGTAATATGCATGTACTCATACATCGAACAGTCCGTTAAAGACTGAACACAAATGCATCGGGAAGCTGTAAAGTGACCTAAATGATTCAGATACATCAAACGAAGCACACCGAGCGACACTCCTTATACGCAACAATCAAAATATATACAAACGCACTCATGGTCCCTAGAACAAAGTGTAGCACAGTGCCGGACACCTTACGTAGAATGTTGTCTATTCCCACGTGTATATATAAAGTACACATATTTATATACATACATATATAAATATGCATGTATATTTGTATCTATGATATACATACACATATACATACACATATATTCGCATATGTACATATACATACACATACATACACATATATACATATACATACACGTATACATATATACATATTCGTATATATACGAACCAATACCAGCACTCGAAACAGCTCAATTCAATGAGAACATACCAGCAGTCCTTTGGTGTCACTTCCCAGCCACACATGGCACTGCAGCAGAAACAGCTCCAACGAAATCTTGCCCATGAAGCAGAAGAACCGACTCACTACCCCTCGGAAGGGGCCTGAATGCGTGCGCGATGTGGCAGGTAGATGATTCATGTGGTCAATTCAATAGGTTTCTACCCAATGAAATTCAACATTCAACTAATCAATAACCGAGGTTTGTCTTTGCTTCCACTCTAGCGGAAGTATAGTTTCAATCGGACTGGTTGCTACTATTTGATTCCGTATAACGGATTGCATCTGCATGCGTTTGAATGTCAGAGCATTCACACTCCTGGATTTCACCGTGCTGCCCAAATTGGACTAAGAGAAAGATTGCAAACCGTTAACGTCTCTGAAACGTGTATGTTTGTACACCGTATGCGTTTACCTATAAGACGGAGCCGTGCTTGGGATTGCATCTGAGTACTGCACAACTCACACCGTATATACTCAACGCATTCGAAACAGAGAAAAGTGACGACACACAGAGACGACACATCTGACTAATGTGCAACAGAACAGCCGTCCGTTGAGTGATGTATACCAATCTACTTTGATTGTACCTAGTTCACACTAAAAAGCAAAAACCCTAAACCCTACCCAGTTCACACCCTTACGTGCGTGTCTGGTGCACGCTCGTACCATATCAACCCACGCAGATAATATACACACACACCCGCTCTATGCGGCCTCAACATGCTTATAATATATACACACACACCCACTCTATGCAGCCTTAACATGCTTATAATATTTATACACACACCCGCTCTACGCAACGTTAATATGCTTATAATATACACACACCCCCGCTCTACGCAGCCTTAACATGCTGATAATATACACATACACCCGCTCAATGCGGCCTTAACGTGCATATAATATACACATACACCCGTTCTACGCAGCCTTAACATGCTTATAATATACACATACCCCCGCTCTACGCAGCCTTAACATGCTTACCCATATAACATGAAAAAGTGATCCCTGCAGGTGGCATGCAGACAACACACACACACTCACTCACTCACTCACTGACCGTATACATTCCGCAGTAGCACAAACGAGCCAATCATCAGTGGCGAGGCAACCGTGTGCCAGCTGTTGCACTCTTTCTTGTCCACGCACGTGGTCGCAAACATAGTGTACGCCCCCAGCAACACCACGGAGCCCACTGCCGCAACCGCATTGACCGTCCCGCTTTTGAACAGGTTGTCATTGCGGGACCCGTCCCTGATATCGCCGGAGCTCGATAGCTGGGGGAAGGGGGGGGGGGTCTGGGTGAGTGTGTGTATCAGTTGACGTGCTACAGTGGGAATGATATAGGTCTATCAGCCGATGTGTATAGTACGATGAACGCCTCGACCACGGGGTTCTTTTTGTGTAATACGGATCTCATGGTTTTAGGGTTTAGGGTTTAGTATTGATCTCATGGTTTGTGGGGTAGGGTGTGTGCGTGTTGTTATAACCGCATGACTACCACGGGCGACTCAGGGTTGCGAGACAGCCTGATGAATTGTGGTTACGAACGTTTATGCCGTTGAATGGTAGGTGGGTCTTATCAAGACTCGGACACGTATTATAGATATTTCCAACGATATGGGCGGGCACACACAATAAGGGTCCAGACCGCAATTATCGTATAGTGAGGTCACCGATAAATCGTCTCGTCCAGTCACATACTACAAATATTTCAAACGGTATAGGCTGGATATGCAAGTGGCACCACACACTTGGTCTCTCACGTACTGGATGCAAAGGTCTCGCGCGCCCCTATGAAGATCACCCGCACAGTGCACCTTTTGTGTCCGCAACTGAATTTCTGGACAGGGCCCAATATCACACACAACATATATGTCACACACTCATGGACCGAAGCAAACGAATCTGAAATGAGTGACCTCGATTTCACACACAACATGCATCACTCACACTCACACACACACCTTAGTTGATACAACTCAAATGGTGAACTGAGTACTACCTATTTGACACAACACGAATTGCAGTTGTGTGTCATGTACTCAATGTAGAAGGACAAGAAACTCACACTCCACATACATGTCACATATCACATGTCACATGTCACAGTGTGTCACATACTCTAATGTAGACATAGGCCGTCAGCATGCCACAGGGCACGGCATACTTGTCCAGCGATGACCTGAACGCCCACTCAGCCACCGAACCGTTCTCCTGGATCAGATAGTACAGCGGTGAAGGGTAGTCGAACATGAGGTCAAACAGACTCTTGTCTCCGGGCAGAAACCGCACCCAGAAGAGGAGGACGAAGGCGAAGATGCAGACAAACTTCTTGGTCATGAAGGGGTGGCTGGCTGCGGAGGAGAAGAACAGGGGAACGGGGTTTTAGGTTAAAAACAGGTGGTTTTGTATTTGAGAATGAAACAGATTGATCAAAGATGGTACAAAAAAAACCCCTCGACACAAACGGACAGTGATTGTAGTAGTTGCAATCAGGCTTCTGCGAGATATACACAACCGAATTTATCGCGGCACAAAACCAAGTTTATTGTGCGTTACGGCCACTCAGATGCCTCACCTATACCCTACCACTCTTGCCACTTATAATAAACTTGAAGCAGGCGACAAAGATAGTGCAAAAAAAAACACACAAACGAACAGTGGTTGTAGTAGTTGCAACCAGGCATCAACGAGATACACACAACCGAATTTATAGCGGCACAAAACCCAAATTCATTGCGCAATAGTGCAGCTCAGAAACCCCTAATCAAATAACCCACCCCTCTCCCCCAAACACTAAACCTCCAACACAGCGTTACATACCGTTTCTGTTGCTCATGATGAACATGGAGAAGTAGACAAAGAAGAACCAGAAGGATATCAACGGGCAGAAGTAGTAGAACATTAACGGCTTGTCCATGACCAGAACCAGCCAGAAGGGCATGAAGTTGATCCTGATTAACACCTGTGTGTAACATTGGTATGTGAAGAAGCAGAAGAATGGCTCAGATATATTCTAGAGATGCACACTAGCTGGAGTACCGGATTGCGATGCGACATGCAGGGCTTCGACGGATTCTAAAAATAGACACGCCAGGTTTGTTAAGAATTCAAACCGGGTTTTTCGAGTTGGCGGCCAATTACGGATAAGAATACTGTAAGCGTACACAAAAATGAAACCACATCATGAATTGGTCAAGAAGTAGAACCAACCCACATTTTCAATGGAGATACTAATCATTGCACCATGTTAAGTAACGGATAACCTTACATCGATACAATAGAGATAGCTCCTAATCATTGCATTGTATCAAGCAACAGAGAAGTTACATCAATATATACATATAAGTGTATATATATATTATAC